TGTTGGCCATTAGGGCAAACTTCAAGGTTTGACACTTTTTCTTGAAAATGGAATCATAAGAGCAGGAGAAATTTTGTTGGTACGTCCAATCAGTTAAAGGAGCTTGGATATTTTATTGAGCAAAATAAACAGAAATTACTGGAAAATATTGAAACTAAAGTGGACATTTGGAAGCTTTAACACCTTCCCATTTCTTGATAGGCCGATCAATACAATCTTTTCCTGATGTTCAAAATATTCCGACAAGTCGCTTGACACATTTCCAACAATTAGAGAAAGTTAAACAACATTTTTAGACACGATGGTCAAAAGAATATGTGTCTCAGCTGCAACAAAGGACGAAGTGGAAGACGAATAGATGTAGTATTGCTGAAGGAACTTCAGTGATCATACGTGAACACAATCTTTCTCCTTAAAAGTGCCGCCAAGGACGTATCATAGCCTCACATCCAGGAGGTGATGGAGTTGTGCCACAACACCGTTTATCTCAAGACAAGGTTCCTAATTCCTAATGTTAAAGGTTGTCTGGTAATGGTAAAGAGATGACGTCATGAAGAGGATCAAATGGAGATTTGCATTATTGTTTAGGCATTCCAGATATCGTTACAAAAATTATCAGGGCTGGAAAACTGTAACGGATAGAGATCGTTATCAGTCCCGACAAGAGGGGGACGGGGGCACAAATATGTAAAAATATTGAAAATTGAGTCAAGAACAAATACAATTAATATTTGGAATCACTGGCGCCGACTACATGGGGGCATCGGGGCAGGTGCACCCATGAGCAACCTCTCATGGGTGCGGTGCACCCATGGGAGCTCTCGTGGGAAGTACGGAAGTACAAAGGTGTTAAATGCTCATTCCGTTCCATGTGGTAATATCCAGTAACATGTAATTTAAATGTACACAACTTTGTATAAGAATTATACAAGTGGTATTAGTATTCTGTCCTTCATATATTTGTAGTCAGTTGTATGCTCTATTACTTTATGTTGCTATTCTCCATCTCTATTCTTTGTGATAATAGGCCTGTTCGCACAGCAATCACAAACCAGTCAGAGCGAATTTCATTGGTTGAAAACAATCAGAAACAGTCAGAAACCTAGTTTCAACCAATAAGATTCACTCTGACTGGTTTGTGATTTCTCTGCAAACAGACCTAATAATTGGGAAGTCCGGCCTACAACGAGAAGTCTGGCGCTTGCGCCGTATAGTGACTGTATGCCATAAAATTTGGTTTTGCGCGAGGGTAGGGATGGTAATGATATATCGATGTTTTGAAGAAATCAAAATATTATGTGTGTGAGAAAGCTTCAGGGACTTGTTATCCTTTGGTACTGATCCTTATGTTATCCTTTTTACCTGGTCGATTACCCCTGTTTGTGTAAATAAAGTCGTCTATTTAGATAGACCATATGGCGTGAAGTGAGTGACCCTGTCTATATGTTTTGATAATTTTTTTTTTTCAAGAATCTTCATTTTTATTCGAGACAATTAGGCAATCTATTCCAATATGGCGGTTCATGTCAAATTGTGGTGACGTTCATGAAAAAAGCATTTTTGCTCAGTGCCCTTATTATTGTTGTAGATGCCAAACATGACAATATGACAATGCCAATGTCAAACCTAAATGTCCAGAATGTGACAAAATAATAATTTTGTCAATAACCATGTAAACAACACGGTGAGTAGAGTGTTTTCACAACTATCAGACCACATACCCACCTCTACCACGTAAAACCCCCTCCAGCACAGCCATCAGCCATCATACCTCTACCCACCTCCACTGCAAACCCCCTTCCGTGAAGCTCCTACCCTAAAATCCCCCCACTATGAGCCCCAAACAAGATGACCGCCATAGCAATATAATGTGTCTATCATCGTTGCTATAATAACGGATTGGCCCGGGTCAAATTCCCAAAATTTCAGATTAAAATCCGTTATTATAGCTGCGATGATGGACACATTATATTGCTAGGGCGGCCATCTTGTTTGGGGCTCATAGTGGGGGGATTTTAGGGTAGGAGCTTCACGGAAGGAGGTTTGCAGTGGAGGTGGGTAGTGGTATGATGGCTGTGCTAGAGGGAGGTTTTACGTGGTTGAGGTGGGTATGTGGTCTGATAGCTGTGAAAACACTCGACTACGGTGTCTGACCTGACCTTCCATATTGAATTTCGTTTGGCAGGTCATGAGATTGCCTAATAATATTTATTTGTAACACGTAATTATATAGGTACATCATAATTTACATAAATATTATATCAAGTTGATTGTAGTGGCTGTATGCACTATGTGCAAAGCCAACCAAACCCCAAAAAATAAAAAATAATAATACCTAATAAACTATATCGATATATTTTAATCGATATTTTACATTCGATATATCGAAAAAAATATCGATATACCTAATAATCTAATAATAATAATAGATGTATCGGTACTTTTATAATAATAGTTCATTAGTTGAGAGTGACAATCTGACAGTTGACAGAGGCGGCTAAAATGAAACCGGAGAAGTACTTTTCCGCACGCATTTCAGGACATGAAAGTACCAGGGTGACTTAACACTGCATAATTATTTTACTTTTCCGCACTAGTGCCTAAATGCGTGCAGAAAAAAGCACTTCTCGCACGCTCGTAGAAAAAATGTTTCGCCTCCGGCGGGCGGCGCCTACGGCTACAGTAGCTAAATAAACCTTTACATACAGTGGCGACAATAGAGGTCCCGCCGCCATCTTGTTCCCAACCTCTTGTTACTTTTAAATATTAATATATAGGATTTAAATGGACATCTATCATAAAAAATTGATATCGACGTATTTGATGACCATTATTAGGTCCATCAAATACGTTGTTTTCCATGATTTATGATGGATGTTCACCTAAATCCCATATATTCCTATTCAAAAGTAACAAGAGGTTGGGAACAAGATGGCGGTGTTTTCAATATAAATATATGGGATTTTAGAACCAATCAAAAATAAGACAGCAATTGTCGCCACTGTGGTAATAGAGTCACTGTACCTACGGCGAGCTTCACCCTCCCCCTATAAACAAATTTATGAAGTCATTTCTGCACCCATGAGGACTTTCAAAAGTCGGCGCCTCTGTTTGGAATAACAAACAAAGGACAATAAAACTATAGATGAAAAACAAAAAAGATGAAAATTCAGAAACATGGAATAAAAGAAAGAAAATTCGCAAATTTGAAATTTATTAACCATTGCCGCCATATTGAATCTTGGCACTTGTGGTTTGGATCAAGGTTGGTAAAAAGATGAAGAGGTTGCCTGATAACTTTTATGACGTCATTTCTATGCTTTAGAGAACCACCTGTTGACGTCATCTGTATATGCCATTACCCAGACAATCTTTTACAAGCAAATAAAAATTTTACACAATTTTTTTCGGTTCGTTGATATTATTCTAATTCTTAATTGTTTTCAAAATTTATATACAATGATTATTAATTATCCAAACCGATAAACACATAAAATAATTGATAATTAATGCATCCATATTTATCCGGAGGTCCAACCTTAAACTTGATTTGTTTGCGCTGGCAATTTTGGCGCCGGTACAACTATACCTCTCAAACGAAATAACGCGCCATTAATTTATTTGTTTTGGGTAATTAACCTGCTTGAAAGAAAAAGAAAAAACCAAAATAATAATGCGACAAAACAAATTTTCGAGTCTATTAATATTTTTGCACCGATTATTATTAGTAGGTATATTAAACAGTGACGGTGTGAGAAAAAAGAACAAAAATGTTTCTAATATAAGTTATTTATGATGCAAGGAAGAAAAGTACTGGATAAACGAAATGTTCAACTTATTAAAAAATAGGTGAGACAACTGGAAATTAATGTTCTGGAACGGTTTTCATGTCTGGTTGGAACAGAGCTACAAAAATCACAAATTAGTGTGGTTTTGATTTTAAAGCAAATCATCAACCAACAACCAATTATCTGACTATTTTCTTTAGTTTTTGATTTTGACTTCGCAGTCAAGTAGTTAAGGTCCAGGGGGGCTTTATTTGAAATTGATGCAACTTTGCGCACACGCAAATATGACACAAATGACGTCATTTTCGATTGAAAAAATATACATGTCAAATAAGCCGTGCACCAATTTTCAATCCCAAATGACGTCATTTGTGTGTAAACAAAGTTGCATCAATTTCAAATAAAGCCCCTCAGGTACTTGATTGAGGACCGATTATTTAGTTTACTGATAATTATTATTAGTTAACCAACAGCTAAAGGTTGTAGTTTCGTGGCCCTAAAGTAATTAAATTACTCTGGTTCCTGGAAAAGTGGTTACTTTTGGACCTTGGTTTCCTGGAATCTGGTTTTCAGTAACCATCTGTCAACCGATTCGGTTATTTTGGTCAATGTTTGGTTATATTCGGACCATAGCCTAAATAACCGTTCACTGATAAAGCAGTACTAAGTAACTTTACTCATATGTCAACCGGTAATTACTTAAAATTTGAAGTATCTTTTATAAGAAACGCAATATTAACGGTTTTTACTTGTCAAATTTTAAAAGTGAAGTTTTCTTTTTTTTCTTTCTTCCTAGTAGGCAAGCAGGTACTATTACTACTAGCGCCATCTCAAATTTGAATATTTACATGAAATAATGGAGCAATTATAATTATTATATTCACCATGATTGTGCAATGGGGCAATTTTTCTATATTTAGACTTAAAATCACTTAAAAAAAAAAGAGTTGTTTTGATCATTGAAGATTAAAATTGTTTGTTTATGAGTCTTGAATACCTCCTACACCTGCATTAAAAACAAAAACACGAAAATAACTCTGTTTTCTATTATGCTTTTTGCATCTGTCTCCATTAATCTAAGAAGTTTATATGTATTTGCCTTATTCTATTCAAATACATAACAATTTGTTGTTCGGTTTTATTTATTTCGACGCTGCTGCATTAATTTTTTTTTTTTGTTTCTATTAATTCTTTTATTTATTCCTACTACCCGGGGACGGTTTAGTCTGGGGACCTTGTTTTGTTGGCATCATAGCAAATTACTATTTTGCATTCTTCGCGGTGTAGTTGTTGGTGACAAACTCTATAAAAGTAGTGATTTTTTAAGAGAATTTATTAATGATGGCCCGTCGTAATAGTGTCGTCGACGTGCAACTAATTTGTTACAATTCGAGAAAGTTTTCGATATCGCCCTTCGAGTTGCCCAACTTTCGCAAAAATGTACGTATAATATTCATGGATTTTGTGATTCAAGTTTTTCAATTTTTCCCATGATTTTTTTATTTTAATTTGAAAACTCAACTGAGATATAGGTACACCATAATGGAAGATTTGTATCAAGTTGAATCTTAAATTCTTAAGAGTTAGGTACCTATTTAGTTCATTTAGAAGAGAAAATTGTTTCAATTCGAATTGAGTTTTTTTGTTAAAAGTACTTATAAACAATAAGAAAAAAATTAGCAAAAAAATACTCTAAGTGCAATTTTCTCGAAATGATTTTGATTTTAAACAAATCTCAGTCTACACCTTTTTCAATTGTAATAATTGAGAAAGCGTATCAGTTGTAATTATTGAGAATAGTCAAATGTAATTAAGCGAATAGTCAAATGTAATTGAAAAAGCGTCAAATCTAATTGAGAAAATGTTGAATATGTAATTCAGAAAATATCAAATGAGATTCAGAATAGATCGATGTAACATCCGAAGCAGGCCATTCGTGTATTCACGATCGCCTCGCATTCCGTTAGAAGGTGTTCAGGAGTTTCCTCCCCTTCCTGTTTAGTAGCAGGACTAGCACAGATTTTAACCCTAATAACACAGTAACATCGCAGAAACATTCCAGAAACATCCATCAGGGATAATGAAGACGTCCCTGGGAGGTCCCTATTTTCCTGGGGACATCCCTGGGATGTTGCAGGCAACAGCCGTGTCATCATTTGCGATGTCCTATAAACATCTCTCAGGGATGTTTCTAAGATGACGCGGGATGTACCTAATACATCCGGGGCAGGTGTAAGAAACATCCTCTATATGTTTCTAGTATGACTTTAATAGGTGAATGAATTTTAGGATTATGGATTAAAAATTACCTAATTCAATAATTTTCAATTTTCGTTCTATTTTCTGGAAGTCAGAACTTTTTCCAAAAAAAAAACAAAAATTGAAAATTATAAAATTAAGTAGGCACATCAGTTTCCAATAACATTTTTTATTGAAAAAATAAGGTACATGTATACTTATATTGATTATCTATCAACTAATAATAATCGACGGACAATTTTGCCTAAATAATGTAGTATTTATGCCCCGTCATGTCATCGAAAACCATAGTTTGGCAGTGGCAGCATGTTGTAGTAGGGGAGTTCGGCGTTTTCTTTTTTTGTTGGTGCTCCAATTTCATAAAGGTACCATTATCTAACCAAAACAACCACAGAACCAAAATCCAAAGTTCTTGAAGTACAATTCAACTTGCACACCTAGAATGTAATCAACTATGAAAACAAAAAATAATTATTGGTTATTTTCTCTTACCTAATGAAGAATGAAGTTCGGGTTTCTAGGGGCTATTTATCAGAAAAGTTAGAAATTTCCTAACCGACGCCATATTGAAATTAAATAAACTAAACAATTGATAGTTATGCGACGTTATCTTTCAACAAATAATCTTTCTCACCAACTAATAAGCACTGGTAGGTCGCAGAGATCCTTTCGAACACAAAATGGCACAACTAGGTGTAGCGAAAAACCACAAATTGACAAATCCTCCACACAGCACGACGCCATTACGAAATAAAATTCCGCCCAACAACACAAGCGTAGCGCACAGGACGACCCGTTCGACTGATTCTGCCCGTCTGCGCTGGCTGCGGCGCCGACCCGACGTGGTGGCGTGCCCTCCTGTCCTGACCGGTACAAGTACAAATGCCTGAGCACGCGCCTGCGCCATACACTTCGGCTTCACGAATATTCACGATGTTTGAAAGTTGAAAAGAGAGAAGACTTTTATCAATACATATTTTATTTTATTCCAAGTTGTAAGTCGAATGAAAAATTAAATATTGCTGTTGTTACAATACAAAATTAATATTAAGTTCCTTATTATCTATATACATTACAGGTATATTATGGAATTTGAAATTAGTTTGTGTGTGTGATAGAGACATTTTCAGAAATCACACAAAATTGGCAAATTTAATACTGGGTCCTACCGGTCTGAGGTCCTACCTAGTTTTGTAAAATAATGTTAGCCATTTTTTAGCTGTAATAAGTATCTAATTTTGAGAACAAAAAATCTTTTTGTCGATAGATATTTTCGAAAGGATGTTTCTAAAACATTTCAGGACAATCATCCTAGAGATGTTACATTACAAACATCGCAGCGATGTACCATTTATGTCGGAAACATAAGGACCTTAATGGTACATAAATAGGATGTTTCTGGGAGATCGGTGTTATTAGGGAATACTCTTTAATTCTTATGACTCACACTGCACAAGCATATTTGGTTCGGCCAGAGTGCACTGCCTGACGTCACGATGTTCTGGAATCGCTCCATCCAGCATCAATCCGGAACACGCCCTAAAGTCACCGAGCTGCAACTCACTGGTTGGCCTTTAATTTATGATATAAAATATAAAAGCACACTATATTAAAAACATCGACTTATTTAGTAGCAGAGGACTAGCACAGATTTCAATACTCTTTAATTCTTATGATTCACACTCTTTGAATATAAAACTACAGGAAGGGGTGTTTTCTATCTGTCACTACAGAGAAAAAAGGGACGGAAACGAGCCTCCAAGTATGACACATCATTTGTTTTGGTGGTTCGCTGTGTCCTCATTCTAGTGGATGTTTAATGGATTTTAGCGGTTCTAAGTGATAATAAGCACTGGGATTGGTGCGAAAAGAGTGAGTCATAATATTGACAATCATATTTAAATAACTATACGCCACTGCCAAACCGGAAATACTAGTCGGCCATATGCAACCTCCACATATTTTGGTCCCGCAGATTCGAGGTTTATGCTCCTTCCTGTTGTTTTATATTCAAAGCTCACACTGCACAAGCACATTTGGTTTCGCCAGAGTGCACTGCCTGACGTCACGATGTTCTGAAATCGCTCCATCGAGCATCAATCCGGAACACGCCCTAAAGTCACCGAGCTGCGCTGACTCGCTGTCGCGTCACTAGCGCAGCACGAGCACGTGGCAACGACTAAAGCAGGAACCTGTAGTGTTAGTGTTTGCGCTAAGCCGTTACAATTAGGCAATTCAAACCACGTGACATTCAAGATGGCGTGGCGGCCACACATGGTTCAAAAAACACAAAAAAATATCTAGTTTCTACCCGACTTGATAGTTTACGTACCTCGTCAACAAATATCTGATTAAGCCCGGAATTACAGAAGCTCTGCAACACCAAGATACAAATGCAGGACCTGCAAGTCTGATTTTTCGTATTACGGAAGCAGAACGCTTTTACAAGTCGCCTGCAAATTTGCGCATGGTGAAACGGTCCCGCAAGTCCTTGCAATCACTTTGACAACTTTGGCATTTGAATATGGTAAATCGGTAGCGCCCAAACATTTTTTCCGATAAATATGACGAAATTGCAGATTTTTTTCTGTAATTTGCTTGTTTCTGCAAATAGAGCACATTTGCAAGTCGGCCATATTTGCAGAACTGCAAATTTGCAGATGCAGATGTACTGTTAATTTGGCCCTAAATAATCAAAATCAAAGTCCAAGCAAAATAATTTAAAATACGCATAAAAACATATTCAAAACAAACTTGCTTGGCCGCCACGCCATATTGAATTTTCCTTTTTGACAGATGGATTGAATTGCCTAATAAAACCTATGAAATATTTTTTAGTGGTTTTTTTAGTAGTTTGAAATTGTGTGAATGATTTTATTTAACCTCATAAAAAAGAACAATCAATCATGAAAGGCCATACCAAATAATTAGGGAATCCAAACCACGTGACTTTTGCCAACCAGCCGGCATTTTGAAATTTTTGTGAGGTTAGAATACGGGTTGCTACATGTCAACGATGTCAGAAAAGTATCAGATTTGAGTACTCGCCCCGTGTATTGATAAAGCCTTGTACTCATAATCGCGAAATTCGCTCTTTTTTGACATGGCTTCGACAATTTGACGTTTGATTCACGCATAAAACGTCAAATTGTCGAAGCAATGTCAAAAAAGAGCGATTTTAGTGATAATCGACAGGAAGATCTCTCAATAGTGTCAAATTATTGAGCTACGTTTTCGGATACGAGAAAAGGCCCGTAACGATACGGTTAACGCAACGCAATGAAACCATCGTATCTATTCTGCGCATGCGCAGATCGTTGCGGATACGGATATGTTGAAAATTCAGGACCTGCTTAAAGTGTCTTTTATCAAAGATGGCTAAACCGTTCACACGGTCTTCGTTTATACAGGACGAAGAATGAAGATAATTATTTATTCCTTTATCGGACGGTCGCCGAATTACTCGATTTCTTGTAATGTTATCAATTAAATAATTTTTTTTTTTTTTTTGCTTTGTTGGTAATTTAATAGGATTCCTATGCGCTGGGTACGCGGCTTGTGCCGCCCCTTGCAATCCTACCGCCCCGGGCCATGGCTCCCATGGCCCTATGGTAAATACGCCACTGACTATCATAGTGTACACCCTTCCAAAGATCCCTGGTTTGTATCCCCAGGTTTTGCCCGCGAGGCTTCGGCACACCATAGAGAGCCCTCGTAGTCTTGGTTACAGCTCCCTCGATGTGTTTGTTCCATCTGAGTTTGCGGTCCAGCGTTACGCCAAGATATTTGACTTCCGATGCCGGTATAATGATAATTCCGTGTATCCGGATGTCCTTCATTCTAGAAAATTCTCTCTTCCTAGTGAAAGGCACTACAGTGGTTTTCGATGAGTTTATCTCCAGTCCCACTGTTACTCCAGTCCCACTGAACTTTCCTCTCGCCATGATGACGATGTCATCGGCATACCCAACGCAGTCCAGGCACAGGTTGTTCAATATTTCTAGCAATTCGTCCACCACCAAGCTCCACATCAGGGGTGAGCATACTCCGTCCTGGGGAGTGCCTCTACTGGTGCTCACCTCGATAGACTCGGTGCCTGTGGTGAGGCAATAAGCATCCTACACATGCATCGGGATATTGTGTCGTTGACTTCCTTTCTTGCTAGAGCTCTCCGAATGGCT